TTATGCCTGATCTTCACCGGGGCCCTACTCGTCTCCAGAACCATCAGATCATTCGGATCCCTCAAAACCATCGGCATCTTCGGGCCCGTAAAGCTTCTTCGCTTCGGCCTCGATCCTTTTTGCTTCCTCAATCTCAGACGACAGGTCGAAACCCCGGACGTGGATCTCTTCGAGGGTCTCTCTTCGGGACAGCCGCTTCATATATTCGGCCTTTGTCTTCAAGCGGGCCTCGGCAGCCTCCGCGTCAGCTTTGTACTGGGCCACCATTTCTTTGGCATCGGCGGAGGTTATGTCCAATTTGGACTTCACTGCCTCATATTCTCTACCGAGGGCATCCCGCTCTACAACGGCCGAGCTCAATTGTGCTCGAAGATCATTGTTCGGTTGAGACCACTTATCGGCTTTCTCATTCGCCACCCGGAGTTGGTTCTTGACCGAAGCCAGCTCCGCCTTAGTGGTTTCCTTCTCCGAAGCCAACAGGTCCATTCTGCTTTTCCACCCATCGACCATGGCCTTGACCTCGTTCATCTCGGCTCGGAATTGGTCGATCTGGTCGATCTTTTGTTGAACCTGCGAGGTTTTGTCGTTAGTCACCACGACTAGCTCCTCGTTTTTAACTTCAAAGACCTTTACCTTTTTGAACAGGTCGACATGTTCCCGCCTCAGGGTCGAAGCTTCTTTCTGAGCTCTATCCAGCTCGGCCTGAAGGTCCTTGATGGCCCCATCTTGCTGCTCACCGAGGAGCTTGTACATATCCTTCTTTCGAGCCTGCTCCTTAAGCTGAGTGGTACCGGAGAAAGCTCTTGTGGTGAAGTACCGAGGCTTGCAAAACGACAAAAGTAATGAGAGATATCAAAACCTTAGTGAAATTTAAAAGGGAGTATCTCGGCGATTTCTATTACACCGGTCGCTTCCTTCGGATCAGAACCAGCTTCTTGGGGGTCTCAGCCCCCGTCTCCATCTCGGCCTCTTGAGCCGGAGGGAGGTCGATCTCACGGCCCACCCTCGGCTGCGGCTTGCTCCCCGGCAAGGGTAGATCCATGGGCAACAAAAATGTCGTCTTTTTCAGACTCATCCCTGAGCCGGAGAAGCGAGTCAGAATCCGGCACCCGGGAGTTGGTGCTCTTCTTGGGCTTACGAGCCACCCTTTTCTTCGGCTTCACCTCGAAACTCGGGGAGCTTGAAGACTTTCTTTTTCTTTTCTTCTTTTCTTCTTTGGCAGCCCCGGACTGTCCCGTAATTGAGAAGTCAATGAGTAGGGACGCGTCCTCGCCCCGCACAGCAGCCTAAGTTCGATGGTCTTAGGCAAACCTGCAAAAGAAAAAGAAAGGGTCAGCATTATGAAAGTTCGGAGCATAATAGCAACCGTTCTGGGAAAGGCCTTACCATAAGAACGGGCCTCCCATCAGCCTTTCGAAAGCTTGCGCCACGAGCGCTCAAAATATGACATTTGCTTGCAGATTCCCTCGATCCACTCCTTGAGCCGATGGACCGCATTGGGAACCCAGGCAATAGCTGCACGATCACGAATCATTAAATAAAATGAAGAAAAATTAACACTTAAGGAAAGGTTGCACTTACGAGATGCGTTCCACTTCTCGGGGAACGGAAGAAACTCGCGAGTGATCAAATCTTTAGTCTTTTCCCGAACAAAGCGCCTCTGCTAGCCTCGGTCTCGATCCTCATCAATACTCGAAAAAGGGGACTTGCTGGCCCAGCGAGTGAGCTTGATTAATCCCCCTCAGAAAATTTGGGGACTGTACAGACGGAGTAGGTGGTCGAGGGTGAACCGAGAGGATTCAATGTGGCTTACAAAATAACGGAGGAGAATCACGATCCTCCAAATAGATGGGTGGATTTTCCCGAGGCACACCTCGTACCTCTTAGAGAAGGCCAAAATCACTAGGTTTACAGGGCCTAGCGTGAAGGGATAAGAGTAAACACTTAAGTACCCCTCCACGTGGGTAGTAATATCATCCTCAGGCCCGGGGACTACTACGTCATTGCCTTCCCATTTACAGTCCTCTCAGACCACGGTAAGGACATCTTTGGTAACGAAGCACATATACCTCGATGTTATTTCGCCCCGGTCCTATTTGGATGAGGGCTTCTCGACTTTGAAGTCGTCTGCTATTGCCCTAGGTATAAAGCTTTTCATGGGAGGCTCGGGGGCAGCCACCTCGGCATTTGTGGCCGGGTGGGAAGATGAAGAGGCAGCTGTTGAGGAACTGATCTGGAAGTTTTAGCCATTGCTATCTGATAATGTTTGAAAATTTAAAGAAAAAGTATGAAGGTTTGAAGGAACAAGTTTGAAGGCTGAAGAGCAGAGTATGAAGATTTAAAGAAAATTTGGGTAAAAACCTAAGAAATTATGAAGATTTGAAGATCAAAGATGAAGATATGAAGGTTTGAAAGAAGTCGGTGATAGCTAGAAAATTTGAAGGTGGAAGCTTGATTGGAAAGTGGAAAAAGAGCAAAGGGTAGAAGCTTTTATAGGGAAAGTAGGTGACGCTTCGCATTCGGAGGCAACCAGCCGATGGTTAATACGTGTTCGAAGTCAGAATGACACGACTGATGGGGCGTTTTGACTTTTTCATCGTTTCGGTTGTAACGTTCGAAGGAAGAAACCTGGGAACATCTATCATTTCTCATCGTTTCGGCAAGCCTACTCTCTGAGAAATAAGAACCCCAATTTTCCGGTGGGGCAAATGAAGTAAGGACATAACTACATGGAATCAGAGCTAGGAACCTCTCGTACTAAGGCGCGAATGAAGCGCTTACCACCGAAGCCATCGAGACGACGCCCCCCCCCCCCGACCCCGAATCTGGTTCGAGCTCCAAGACCTCGGAAAGCATTACCAAACGGTTGCACACGACTGATAAAGGGCCGTGATATCCGCGCTCAACCGGATATCACGGCGTGGATCTCGGCCCGTATTCGCAGCAGATTAGTGATTAACGAAAAAGAAGATGTTTACCTTTCTTAGAATTATACTAGGGATGAAACTCTCCTACTCTATAAAGGGAGTGATTTTTATTCAATAAGAACACTGTAACACGCATATCAAGGCAATATAAACTTATTTTCTCTGCTTCTAAGTTATTCAAAAGTTCTTATTTTTGCTCATAGCTCTTCATATATATTTTGGCTCCGAATCGAAGCCATACCAATTGTTAAGCCCAAAACCGAGCCCGGACTCAACACCACAACTGGTTTGTTTATTTATTTTATCATTAATTTGTTTATCTAACGTTATTGATCACTTGTATTGAATTAATCCACATATCCTTAAAACTGCGTATAAATTCAATTGTTATCCATTTTCAAGGGTAAACATAAATGTTGCATATAAATATTGGCTCAAACACACAAGTTAAGCATGATGATTAACTCCTTTAAATATGACTATATTGAATGCACTCTGCCAGTAACTTTTTGGATACTCCTTCCATCTTATTTTATGTGATCTTATTTGACTATATACGAAATTTAAGAAAGAAGAAAATACTTTTGAAACTTATTTTCTAAAACGGAAAAGGGTTTAAAATGCCCATAAACTATTGGAAAAGGTTTAAAAATATCCTTCATTTATCTGTTGGGCTAAAAATACCCTTCCATCCACCTTTTTGGTTCACTTATGCCCTTTGACCGTTAGGTCAATGCTGAATTAAAAATAATAATTATTTGAATATCACGTGGCAATTTCTTATTGGCCAAAATTAAACATCTAACCCATTAGAAAGACCCACCCGTATCTACCAGTTTTTCATACTAACCCGCTTCAAATACTAACTTGACCGAACAAAAAGTTCAACTAAAAAAGAGAGGCCCTACTTCTATCAAACTCCATGGAACAAAAGCTCCATGGAAGTTGCAGCGAACATATAGACACAAATTTACTACGTGATTTTCTTTTTCTTGTTATGGCATCCAGTTCAATTTATATGATAGACACAAATTGCATTATATTCAAGATGAGTTTAATTTAATCATTTTCACATAATGGAAAGATCTGAAAGTGATTGTTTAGAAGATATCATAAATCGTTGGACTACCCTAGTTTTTCATCCCACATTATTGTCAAGAAAATCATTGGCTCGTTCATGCTAGGCTTTTCTTGTTTGTTTAATTTGGTCATGAACCTTTATTCGATGATAATGCTATACACGAGATTAATCAAGAAAATGAACACATGTAAATCCATGGGTTAGATGGAAGTGGGCGTCTTTTTTTTATTTGAACTTTTTATTCGGGTCATATTCGGGACGGGTTAGTCCGAAAAATGGGTAGATATGGGTGGGTCTTTCTAATAGGTTAGATGTTTTAATTTCGATCAATAAGAAAGTTGCCACGTGGAATTTAAATAATTATTTTTTAAATTCAGCATTGACCTAACGGTCAAAGGGCATAAGTGGACCAAAAAGGTGGATGGAAGGGGTATTTTTAGACCAATAAGTAGATGGAGGGTATTTTTAAGCCTTTTTCGATAGTCCTGGGGCATTTTTGACCCTTCTAAAACAAGTCAACTCAAATGCCAACATAAAATAAAAAACGTCGTGCTTCAAAGTGAAATTCTTCTATGTTCCTGCATGCTCAGCTCCCAAAATGCAAACACTTGCGAAGGTAGATTCGGGTTGGTTGGTCCGAAAAGTCATGGAATGGGTGAATATTGTAGATCAGCGGATCTAGTGGTCAGCAATCTTTTGCACTTGGTAAAGGTTGTCGCAACACCTGTAGTAGGACAGAGAACTTATCACGATGTCCGCCAATCAATTTACAATGTCTCAGTTGTTGACGTTCGTCAAATAGGCCAATGGATCGGCTATAACATTTGTATAATTATAAAATATCTCACTACGATAAAACAAAAAATTTAAAGTTAAATTGATTGTAAATATTTTTTAATAAAGTAAAAAAATCTAATACATAAATTGGGATAATTGCCTAAAAATAAAAAAATAAAAATTTAAAAGAATAGATCACTAAGCTAAAGTACACCGGCGTGGATGCCGTACGAAATATGACTTAACCCCTTTACTTAACTAAATAAACAAAAAAGACTAAACCCCGCAACTATCGGAACACAATCTGCGATTTCCGCGTTGTAATAAACGCCGAGGATCTCTTTCTCTTTGTGTAAATACAAACTACAAAAATATACTTAATCCTCTGATCGTACCAAATCCAAAAACCCTAAACTCTCTCTACTTGTTTCATACTCAGTTACATTTTACCTCATTTGAGTTTCCGGTCTATTACAAGGTATGAGGAAACCTCGATTTTCTGTACAAATTTGAGTTGACTTGACTTCTCTCTATATATATATCTATTGGTAATTTTGTTCGTTGATTAATTGTATAAACAGATCAATAATATGGAGGAAGGAGGAAATCAGTCAAGGTATGTAAAGTTAACGAAAGATCAAGCACCTTTTGAAGAAGATATTAAGCCTGGGGAACTCAATCAGCCAATTCATGTCCCTCAGGTCTTTCTTTCTGATCTGTTTTAATTCTTCTTAATAGTACTAATTTGTTGTTGTAGAAAAAAGGTGAATTCAGGATTTGAACTTTGTAGTGTGTGCATTGCTTAATATTTGTACTAGATCTGTCTCTAAATGTTCTAGTCAATTAATCTTCTAAGGGTAATGGTGTATAGGTCTTAACAAATGACTTTGTAGGATTTATGTAATTAGCAGTAATTTGGATTACACTGTGTGAAAAAATGTACGGATATTTGCTTCTTGATTTCTTTGCTAGACAAAAACTCTGTACATCTCCTAAGATGTATTGATAATAAGATCGAAGTTCAGTCAATACTTATGCTAGTGGGAGGTAGCAGATATCCGGTGGAATAGTCGAGGTGTGCACAAGCTTTGAGACGGATCCAGAATTTTAAGTTTATGGGTTCCTATAGCGATATCAACTTAATATGCAATAATAATGGAACCAATGGACTAGGTTCGAAGCTAAATATTCTTACAAATTCAATGAATTTTTAATACAAATACAAGGTTTAAGCAAAAGTTATTGGGTTCACGTGAACCCGTAACCATTGCACTAGATCCGCTCCTGCACAAGCTGGCCTAAACACACAACCGTTATAAAAAGTTTTTAATAATTAGATATCTTTAGAAGCCATCAAAACTCCGACCCCAAAGTTTAGCGTGTGTGGGCGAGATAGTATAGTTCGAGTTAGTTATCTATATGGACGGCCATAAGATGGATAGGGCGGCTAGGGAATACCTGTCATAATTGTAAGAGGCCTACCTTTATATGACCTTATGCCGAACATAAGAGGTTCCTAGGAAGATTGATGATGACAGTTTAGTGATCTATTTTGATGTGGTAGCATGGTTGCAAATCACCAACCATTACTTATATGTCAATAACTAAAAGATACGTCAAAAATCTCAATCTAACGAGATGCTATTGACAGTACTAGTTATTACAGTAAACCTAACAGTATGAAAGGATAATGAAAAGTAAACTTAAAAGCCATCGCAGTAAATTAGTTATCCATCTCCAGTTTTAAGATCAGCATCGTCATCAGAACATTTTAATTTCTTCTTCGCATTGGCAGTTGCTGAACTCCAAGCTAAGGCTACACTAGAAAAATTAGTGGTATTCTGTTTTAATCCTTCACTGGCTTTACTGAAGTTGCAGACGAAAACAATGACAAAACGGGAAAAGCAGGTTTTTCATCACCTAGGTCGAGCGTTATCCCATCTTGTATGTAATTGGCCTAGCGTATAACTGAATACATTATTGAATTTGCCAATAAGCATGTAATTGAATGCCAATACATCTGCCAGATATTATCATATTACGATGTTCTTGATTGGTGTTGCTTTTGTACTAGGGTTTGGTTCTTCTCTATCTTTCCTTCTATTACAATTTTCATGTCTCATTGAACAGCTAGTCGTTCACAAGTGCAATGAATGTGGACAAGCTTTACCTGAAAGTTTTGAGCCTCCTGCAGATGAGCCTTGGACAAGTGGGATTTTTGGATGTGCGGAAGACAAAGATAGTTGTACGAGTTCTTCCTTATGTTATGTACATAAAGCTTGTAATCACTTGATATGTTCCTCATTACACTGTCTAAATAATTTGCAAAAGACATTGTTATGTATGAGCTGCTCGTCTCCAGATTTTTCCTTGCTCCACTTGGGTTTGATCTTTGTGTTTCTCTATATGGTAACAGTGTGTTTGAAAAAAGAGCACTTTCATTGCAGCTATTTCACCAAAAACTTAACAAAATCGTTTTAGTTTCTCTTTTCACATCTTTTTAAAAAAATATATGTGAAAGAAGCTCATGCTACTCACTCTATCATTTTGGGGGACTTACAGGTTACATCCCTCAGAGTAAGCTAATTAAGTAGTCATTTATATACATTATTCAATAGAGACTGAGGTCCGCTTGTCTAAATTAAGTCAATACTGCTCTTTATCATTTTCAAATTTTTATTAACCCATATCCTGTTGTGGCACAAAGCACTTGAAATATAGTCTCTCTGTTAGAATTTAGGCCTCTTTGATCTTAACCAATTGTCTGTTAGGAGGTGACAGAAATCCAATTGTGTAACCGGAATCTCATCATTCAGAAACTTAAGAGGGGAGATAAATTAGTCTCTCGTTGCAGTTTGGAAGAATAAGCTCTCTATATGTCAAGTATTATTGATAAACAGATATTCATCCTTATTTAATTTGTTAAAAAAAAAAAAAAGAACTTCTAACACTATTTTAGCTTGTTATTACTCTGGTTCTATTTCTGGGATAGTTCCATCTCAGTAAAAAAACTTTGTATCATAGTCTTGACTGAGGATTGTGCACTTTATGCCAGTCAGTGTGCAGCTCTTTCTTCTTTTAACACACTGGTTTTGTCTTACCTTTATAGGCTGGACGGGACTTTTCTGCCCGTGCATCTTGTTTGGGCGTAATGTCGAGAGCCTGAGAGAAGATACTCCTTGGTCTACCCCTTGTGTTTGTCATGCCATTTTTGTCGAGGGTGGCATTGCTTGTGCAGCTGCAACAGCAGCATTTCATGGTATTGATCCAAGTACATCGTTCCTCATTGGTGAAGGCTTATTGTTTGGTTGGTGGATGTGTGGAATATATACTGGCCTCTTCCGGCAGTCACTGCAGAAGAAGTATCATCTCAAGGTAACTTCATTTCGTTTGTGTTTACATGTGAAGTTATGCATAATTTTAATTAGGATCAAATCCTATGTCCTTAATCAATTTCTCACTGTGTTCTTGAAAGTCCTGCAAATTTTGAGGGTTAAAAAGTTGCTAGCCTAGAATTCGATTCATCTAGAGTACAGTGATCATCTTAAACGCCAGTCGCAAGAAGCTTTGGAGTATACTGTTTATTGAATTAGCTGAGTTTTGGCGTGTTAGAAAAATGGATATTGGGCCTAAGTCCTAAGTCAACCCGAAAAGTTAGCTCAAGAGGTGATTCCCCAAAACCATATAAGGAGACCAATGGCTCCATCCCCATCCGATGTAGGAATATCAACACCCCCACCCCCCTCTGCACGCCGTGGACATCTGGAGCATGCATAATGTAAGATGGGGGAATATCAACAGTGTGCTTTTACTGTACAATGCAGTCTTATCTCTATCTGTCCCAAATTAACTGCTGGGAGATGATAGTGAGACTTCAGCACCCTAAGAAGTGTGTAACCTAGCGTTTAAGGAAACTGGAATGAACCATGGTAGACTAGGGTTCAAATCACGGCAGGGGCAAAAAAACGCTAGGTGGTTTTTCCCATTTGTCTAAACCTTGTTGGACAGAGGTACTCGGATAGCATTTAGCAGGTACCCTGGATTAATCGAGGTGCACATAAGCTAGGCAGGAACAACCGGGTATAAAATAATTAAAAAGGAGATTAGAGTGAGACTAAACGTTTGTTTGCTAATATTGCAACTTTCTCAATGATGCAGAATTCTCCGTGTGATCCTTGCATGGTGCACTGCTGCTTGCACTGGTGTGCCTTGTGCCAGGAGCATAGGGAGATGAAAAGCCGTCTGTCAGATAATGCTGCTATGCCAATGACAATAGTCAATCCTCCTCCTGTCCAGGAGATGAATGCTGCTCGTGACAACCGTGAATCTGTACCTTCCTCAGCAAATAGCACCGAACAAACCAACCTCGAGATGCAAGCTCTATGAAAACTAAAAATCAATTTACCATATCAGATAGCTGCTCAAAGAGTTCGCGTGAGTGTGTCCTTGCTAAGTTATACAGGAAAAGATGGTCATTGTTTTAGAGGAAAATAGCTCTTCAACTTCTTGTTGTGATGAAATTGCCTTTTTGATGCACAGGTTCGGCCAATACTGTATTGAACTGCAAATGAGTAGCGGCATTACTCTTTTGTTTGAGTGTTTCAGAAACATTAAATTTATTTAGAGTCGAAGGTCAAAAGACTAACCTATAATAAAAAATCTTTTATTCTGCTTTCTATAGTATATTCATTTCATGTCCTCTTCTTTTCTATATCGCTGCTCTCCCTCTCACCCCAACCAATGAGATAAAAAAGGATCTCCTTGAAACTATTTCTCATTAGTTTGCAACTTTGGTGGTGTATATGACTTCTCCTCCATGAACTTCTCACTAACCAACTTTGAGGTATGTTCTCTTGTGTATGTTTGAAGTTTGTACCAGATAACTATTAAAATAAGATTTGTACTGAAGTTGATATTGCAAACTATTATCTTGACTTTTAGAACCCATAATTGGCGAAGTGTCAATACTATTTGCCTTTGATAACATTACTATAAAATCAAGTGAGCTAAATGCAACTTTTTGAAGTTGCAATAGCATGTCATAATTAACTTCGTTTAAGCACGATTTCAATATCACAAAGGTACATTTACTTCCGCAAATGATATTTCGTGCAAAGGTAAATTAACTCTCAAACTGACATGTCATGACCCATTAACAATATAGGTCGACCTAAGACTTAAAATTTTTGACAATGATGTTTATGTTCTTAGGAAATCGCCCAACGAGAAAATTTTACTATGCCAAAAAGAATAATAGTTAAAATCTAAAACAATGATCAAAATCCTATCCTCCAATGTATTTTCTCTTAGTTTCACACTTTCACTCTTTGTTAAATATACCACTATCACTTTTCTTATCGTCAGAATGGGGGGTCGGTAGCGTCCTTTGCTCATATGCTGATATTACTATAATCACACGAGTCTTCCTTTTAGTGCACATGAAACAGAAACTGCAATACCCATCTTTTCAAGACATCTTTTACGGGTAGGGCAAAACATCTCCATCCTTTTCGTTCGATGTAATATCCTAAGAATATGCGTCGAAGAACATTCGACTCTATTTTCTCTTCACAACTCCAAATGATTTAGGTTGTATGATACTTTCATTTAGCAAATGTTGAAACATGCTAAAAGACTTGATATAAAAGACTAGACATAGAACACATTAAATTTATAAACTCACCTTCTAGTTTTACATTTCACTAGAATTTCTAATGATTTAACTGTTAAATCATTTAGGACATGTTAAGCAAAAGACTAGTAAAACAAGACCTCTTTTACTAGCAAACCCTTCTTCATGCCCACCTGAAATCCCCAAAAAATTAACCATCTCCCACAAAAAGAAAATGCAAAACGAATCAGGCACGAGGAGCCGCCATTTGCTGCTTCTTTACCCTCTCATCCTGCTTCACCATACTGAATACAAAAAAATGTTTGATGGATCAACATTGCAACCAATTCAAAGTAAAGAGATAAATAAATGCCTGCCATATTACAGTGAATTGATGAATCCACTCCAACCAGCATAGGAAAATAGCCATTATCCCACTCTTTTTTAACTTTTCCATTTTTAAATAGACAGTTAGTTAGACGAATGTTTTTATGCTGACTTATGAGGAAAAAGAAAAAAAAATTGGATGGGGGTTGATAATACACCAGTATTATTAAAAAAACTAACTCTACCAGACTTGGAAGGGAGAACGGAAAAATTGAAGAGACCTACACTCATTAGTACATGGTTCAAATAAGTCAAATTAAGCAAGCAGTATACCAAAGGCAAAGCAAAGACTCAGGCTGCTTGATTAAAAGACTATTTATTTATGCTTTCAGATTACCTGATGTCATGAGGGGTAATAAATATCCACTGTGATCCTTGTGCCAATGCAAAATCCACGACAGCGTCTAGACTGATTTTTCTGCTAACGGCATCCTGTACATTAATGGAAAGTTAAAGATTGCAACCAATAGACTTTTTGCCTACGATGTTAAGTGCAACTAAACATGTTCCCATGTAATCCACTAGAATAAGGATTTATAGATGCATAACCGATTAGTAAATTTAAACAAATAGAATGCCCGTCTAGTGCAAGATTAGGAACAAATGATTGTAAACCAGTCCTCCATTACAATAGTTCACCCCACCATGATTGCACCAAAGGATCCATCCATCCTCATATACATGGGGGTGCCATTAATTGATGAGGATATGATCTACATAAGAACACTTTAAAGTATCACAATCCTTTAGCAGCATCTGCATTACTCCATTTGAGCCATATTCATTATTATCATAATAATATAAATATTCATAATCATCCATCCATTGTGATCCCTGACGATATATGGAAGTTATCGTGGACAAACTGTGAATAGTTAAAAGACAGCTAAGTGCTTTCATTCATTTATCTGACAGAGAAAGAGACTTCTTATTAACCTTTTGTTAAATGAAGAGTCAGCAATTTCATGGTTTAGATGTCAATAAAAGTAACAAATATCCAGAACACCATTTTGTGTCCTAACTGTGACTTAGCTTTCAAGAGATATGGTTATGAATATTATGCAGTTTCTACCATCTGAACATTACAGGCAACAAGTAGTCGGAGATATTCACTAGCTGATAGTAAATTCCTTCAGCTTTCAACATAGCTTATTGAGTTCGTTCTTCTGACGAAGCTCTTTATCCCTTAGGCTTTATTCATTGCCCTCCATCAAAATCGTAATTAATGTATCAATCAACAACATACACCAGATGTGTATGTACTTGTCATGCCCAACTCTATGTTTCTTTTGAGCCTGGAGCGAGGTAGGAAAATAGGTTTATTACATTGATGATGGCTTTTGTATTGAACATGGAGACTACCAACGAAGGACAGACCCGCTCTGGCATCGTGCTTGTATACTGCAATTGCCCTTGAAGGCCAGTTGCATTCTCTAAGTCATTTGGGTCTCTATTTGGAGGCTTTAGAAGAAGACTAACAAAAGGTGAAGTAAATGACAACGCACAAGATCATGGCGCGAAATTTGACAGTTAGAAGCATATTTCAGATTCCTGTTAATTTGAAGTTGAAAGCACTAATGTGTAGAACAAGTTGATGTCCATTAAAACATCTGTTAGTTTCAACGAGCGAGGGGCTAAAATTGCACATTTTTCTTAATTAAGCATCAAAATGTGCTCAAGTGAATAATACGGGCTAAACCGGAATAAAGCAATAACTAAGAACCAAAACTGCAATTTCTCCAAATTAAAAGAAGGGGGG